TCACGAACGTCGAGGAAGCTCCTGTGAAGGATTTTGGTATGAAAGTTCCTAATGCGGAGAAATACGGCTGCAAGTAAAATAGATAATGGCGTCATTTCGTTGCTATGACAACCCTGATGTCATTGTAGCACTGATCATGACAATTTTTCTTCTTTCTATAATACCGCTGTGGTGGTAATTTTTCCAAATCTTTGTTTAATGACAGTGTAGTTTATTCTCAAACTTGGGAGGTATTGGCCTTGAAAAACCCCATCGAGCCACTTTAAAAATTCATTTCGTTTAATTTCAAACACAAACCGTTTCTTGCTTTCTTGCTTTTTTGCGGCAAGTAACAGGAAGTATAGTACTTCAAAGGAAACAAAGATATAGTAACATATGAAATTTCTTAGTCCTACCCTTTCATGTTTAAATAGTGTTGACCATTATCGCCTGCGTTCCAACCAGCAGCGGGGATGCCATACCAGCTTGTCCAGTATCGATAATAGTATCTAAAAACAGAAGGTTAAGTACGATATTATCAAGTGTTTAATTAATATCTCAAAACGTTAAGTCAAAAAGTTCAATAAACAAAAAAAAAAAGCAAACTTCAATTACACCATGAAAAATTGAAAAAGCTAACGCCGTTTCCATATTGAATTTTTCAGTTTTCTTCACCACGATTAGATTTTGTTGACCAGGATTTAGCGTGCACGCGTATGTCTTAATCAGAGACTGCCTAGGCGGTGAACGCGTGTAAAAAGGCGTGTAACGAAGAGAAGTTAACGCGCAAGTTATATTTATACGCTTGCCATGTTCGTCCTTTTTGATTAGGCGATTTTCATTGAAAATAGAATATATATCGAACTAATAGGGCAGGCAAACAGCTGTCAATTATGAGACACCGTCATCCATAGAGCTTCATTTTTCCTATAGAGCGTTGAAATGCAAAATAGACGACACCGTGAGACCGAGAGAGATCCTGGCTTAGTTTTGACAGAAGGTTCTTACGTGTCACGTGTCTAACGGCTGTACTTACGGTAAAACTGGAGCAACCCATTGAATTCCTCCGGGAGGATAATTGAACATCAAAAATGAGTTGAGGAAATCTGTGATGATGACCGCTTGAAAGGTGTTCGACTGCAAAGAACAACAACGACACAACAACAAAAAGGTTGGGTCACTGAGGGTGAAAAAAAATGAACGTGATTTTAAAAGCGTGCAACCTAATAACGAAAACTATATATTGAGCTCATTACATTTATGACGCCAATCGTCAATTAATTAGATAAAGTACTGGTGTACGCACTGCTATCCACGGCATGTATTTTCGGCTTATTTGGCTTGAGAACACAATTTTATGCGACGTTGTCTAAAAAAGTCGTAATTTATCCTAAAAAATAGCATTAGGTATATTTTGTTTATCGTTTCAAACATAGTTCTACAACAAAAAGGTTTTGTCTTTTATTACACTCATCACTAGAATTTTATTTCGTAAACTTATTTATAGAAATCTAGACGCTTTGTTTTCACATGTGAGAAAGCTTATACAGCCAATCAGAATAGCGCACAGCCGTTTTCACACGTTGAAGTATAACCAATCAACGACAGCGCAAACGCCTTTCTGAGCCAATTGGAGTCATTAATCGTTTGCATTCAAATGACTATCCAGATTTGGCGGCTTTTAGTGGCACCCCCTGCAAATTTTTCTTCAAAAAATGGCGGGGACGATTGAAAGCGGTGAAAGGTTTGGGTCGGTCGGCTGCTTCTCAGAATAGTTTGTGCAGCATCAAGAAAACAAGAACACATTCAGAAAAAACAGATGTTTCGTTTTTGAAAAAGTGTTAGTTTCAAGGAACGAGCTGAGAGAGTTGGAGAACATTGATGCAAGAAATCTCGACGTGTTAATCGCCATTTTTCTACTACAAGTTCAAAAGAAAGACCGCGGGAGAACAATACGTGCCCATATCCCTGAGGTCTTTTGTTTCAAGCTTGTAAGTGCACTTTCTGTTCAGCACTTTATTTCGATGAAGACTGAGGATGTGCTGCGAGATTTGCCATTGCTATTAAATTTGCATTTGGTTCAAATATTTGTGATCTGCTCTTTCTATTTCAGTGAAAATTCTCTTTATATGTGTAATAAACAGCTCACGTCATAAAAAGTGCTTTGGACGGGGTTTTATTAATTCGTTGGTTTGTGTCAAAAGCCCTTCACTCGTTCATTCGGATTTTGACACAAACAGCTCGTGAAAATTACCCCGTACGCCGCACTTTCTATGACGTAAACCATGTATACAGAATGGGCCTTTCGGGTTTCTTTTTTTATCCTAAGCAGGGCCGGGGTTACAAACCCTGCATGACTTCTCTATGGGCGATCTCCAGCCCCAGGGAAAACCTCACTTTGCCAACTGAAAAATTTTATTTATGAACAAAGCGTCGATTTTAACTCCTTAAGAGAAGTGACTTTTACTTACCCATGGACAATAAAGGTTGGGTATTCCCCAGTTGTAGTAATAGTAGTACCATGGATAATAAACGTAGGGACATAAGTTTTCCCAGGTTACAACCAAAACCCATTTGGCTTGAAAGTTTGAGAATGCTTCTCCGCTATTGCCAAACTGTTGAACATGCTTCGAGGCTCTGTCCAGAATTCTTGTAGGATCAGTGTCTTGACTGTACACGTGATAATACACTTTTGAATAACTAGCTTTAAAAGCAAAATACTGGTCCGTGAGAGCCCAGAATGGAGCGATGATTGCGAAATTTCGAAACCATCTATACACACCGAACTTTTGAGGCCACCAAAAACTCCACTCATAATTTAGTTGTATTTTTCCGTTGCGGCATATCTGCAAAGCAAATTTGATAACTGTACTTTAAATTGGAAGTTGTGAGAGACAAAGTTCGATTGTTTGTCGAGTTTACGGGAAAAGGCAAAGAAGCAAAAGCCTAAAAACCTGTGGATTCCCGAAATTATATTACATGTTATTTACTAGCCACACACAAAAAAATTCAATAGATAATTGGGTGCCTCTTAGACAAAATGCTTAACACGCAGTTCGATCGAAAACACTGAACAGAACAGAAGATATCACAAGGGTCCACAACTACTGCTGTGTTCCAACACCAGATGGGGAATCTTTAAAACTTCCTTGGTGCTGTTTACATATCAAGGGATCATACGTACATGTAATTTGTAATGCCTCTTGTTAAAGAATGGAAATCCAAAGCGATCTACTTTGAGTTCCAAGCAGTGGCCATAGTAATAATAGTAGGAGTCGCCAAGACGAAACTCGCTATCACCGTTGTCCAAACCATAGGGATACATGTAGCTCTGGGCTGAAAACAAAAATTGTAATAACTGAAACATTAAGTCATGAATCTCAGAACACGATATATGCATATATATATCTGTCTGGGTTTGCTAGAACGTGGCTAAAGAAATTTCAAGTGCATATTTTAACAATTTGACATCTAAGTCGAAAAGTTACTAGCTGAGTGAAACGTCCTGAAATTATAACCAGTTTTAGTCAGTCAAACCATGAGGCCCAGAGCTAAGTGTCTGCCGAAAACAGATTAAGAATCCACGATCTTTGAGCACAGAATAGTCTTTCTAAGTCAAAATTAGCAAAACTAAACAGTCACTAAGTGTTTTTATGCTTGGCATAAAGTCTCCTGGTAACACTCAGTCTCAACCACATTTCTTACCTGAGCTTTGTTTGTCAACGCCATCGATAAATCACAGTAAAGACAATAAATGACCTTCAATCTTTGAGCATAGAATAGGCTTTTATGACAGAATCACCTGAACTAAAGACTCGCGAATCGATCACGAAGCGTTGTATTAAATGCTTGGCACAAAGTATTATGGTAACACGAGCTCAACCACATACCTGAGTTTTGTCTGTCAACGCCTTCGGCAAATCACACAATAAATCACTTATTAGCTTTCGCAGCAATGATAACACCCTTAAAAAACACTGATGATATTCCGTCGTAATATTTTCGTCGAATGACTCAGAAAAACTCTCGCGTTATAATGTTCTCAACATAAAACACACGTAAACACTCGAACAGTCAATTTTTACGAGATCCCGGATGTACCCCAGGTTTTTAAAACGGACAGATGAAGGGCCCGCCTATAAACGTTTGTAACTAAGTCTCTGGCCTGGTGAGAAATCAGCTCAACTTTTCTCTCTCCGAATAGACTTGACTCCTAGAACCTACTTTCTGCAGAGGCCAGAGACTCGTCACCACCCGGAACAAAGCTCTCAATATCGATACCTTTCCGTCTCGAGCCCGAGATCAGTGTTTCACCCGTATAACCAAATGAAGCAAAATACGGTAAGATATTGGACAAGGACGACTTTGCCAATCGTGACACTTGTTACTTCATAATATAACGCTTAATGATGCCTTCCGGAAAACTTTGCTCCAGGTAGCTAAGAAGAAATCTCGAAAATTAAGTCAGAATGTTGGGAAAACTAAAATCAGGATGTTGGAAAAAAATCCTGCAGGTATCTTTTTGCAAATTCCGACGAATGTATATTGAAAGGTTTAGTTTGATCAGACTTACTGTTGGAGCAGTTCTTCCCTACAAAGAGAGGGGCGCATGAGCAATTGTAGTCATTCACTCCGTCAATGCATGTTCCACCGTTAAGACACGGGTTTGGATAACAGTCGTCAGTGTCTAAGGAGAAACAGAGATTTGAAAACCATTAAGGTGATGAGTGCACGTAAATCTTACAAACTGATATGGATACCGAGATTCAGTGATATTTTTAAACTTACTATTAGAGCAGTTCTTCCCTACAAAACCAGGCACGCATGTGCAATTATAGTCATTGACTCCGTCTATGCAAGTCCCATTGTTTAGACACGGGTTTGGATAACAGTCGTCAGTGTCTAAGGAGAAACAAAGATTTGAAAACCATTAAGGTGATAAGTGAACGTAAATCTTACAAACTGATATGGATACTGAGATTCAGTGATATTTTTAAACTTACTATTAGAGCAGTTCTTCCCTACAAAACCAGGCACGCATGTGCAATTGTAGTCACTGACTCCGTCTTTGCAAGTCCCATTGTTAAGACACGGGTTTGGATAACAGTCATCAGTGTCTGAAGAAAGAAAAGGACATGGTAAGGATTGACGACAATAAAATATCTATATTTAGTATATACTAAAACAGTGGATAGTGTTTTTCGAGCGCTCTGATTGGCTACCCAATCAGTGAATATCCTGCACTATTCACTGATTCACCTCCAGTTCCTCCGAGCGAGCAACGCCAAACTCGCGTAAGTTGCGAGCAAAATGCCTTCCCGGTTTTCTGCCGTAAACAAACAAACAAATTTCACAACTAATCAAGCAAGCTGTTTCCGAAATACACGAAGAAGGTGACGAAGTTCGGATTGGAAGTTTTAACAGGTAAAGCTTTGTCTTTTTGACACTAATTTATCGATAAAACTGGTGAAAAAGTTTTTGTTTACAAATGCAAATTAAGTTTAAGTCTTGCTTACTTTATTTAGTTGAGTTGTTCATAAATAAGCTTCAAACTAAATTTAATAATCTTTTTTTATAGAATGATTTTAAATACAGAAAGAATTCACAACTCCTTTTGAAGAAATTTCCCCGCAAGAGCTAAACAAATGCCTTGAAAAGTTTTAATTGTCGGCAAGAATAAAGCGACGGCCGCAGCCGCCCGGTCATTACGCGCCAAAATTGTAATCGTTGGCAACAGTATTTGAGTTAAAAATCATCATTTTTGTGCTCAATGATCTCACTGTTTTAGTATATACTAAAACAATTATTCACCTCAGTGTCGGTGGCTAGTCGTGGATATTTACCTCACTGCTTCGCAGTTCGGTAAATATCCAGGACTAGCCACCTCCACTTCGGTGAATAATTGTTATCTATACATGGAAAGGGGAGGGGATTCAGTTTTTCAGTTTTTTTTTCACATTGGCACCCCAGAAGTGAAATTTTTTTGAAACCAATCTTGCCCCAAATAAGTAATGGCCAAGGCATATGTATTGATTTGCCTTTTTCTGTGTATAGAGGAATAGTTTTTTTAAGTTGAAGAAGAGGTAAGGAAACTTCATATCTGTAATTTATGCAAAATTACCTTTCCAGAACGAACGACCGAGGTAGTGCGCAGGTTTACTTGGAATATGATTTCCATTTTCTGTTCACAAATCCGAAAATCTCAATACTAAGACTTGATTTTAAAGACTTACTATTTGAGCAGTTCTTTCCTACAAAGCCAGGCACGCATGTGCAGTTGAAGTCATTCACTCCGTCTGTACATGTTCCGTTGTTTAGACACGGGTTTGGAAAACAGTCATCAGTGTCTGAGGGAAAAGTAAAAATAAACTGATAGACTTGGTGACAATCAAAGAGTATAAAGTGCAGCAATTGACAAGAATTATCTTTTGCATGAAGCGATTTATATTCTTTATTGGTGAAGCGCAAGACACTTCCTGTCGTAACTGAGATGGTTTTTTTCTTCTTTTATAGAAGAGAGGGATAGAAGGGTTAATATTCGTATTAGTACTGGGGAAAGAGCTTTTTTGGAGAAAGGAATGTGAATGTGCCTAGTACACTTGGAATACGATCATGTCTCCAGTTGAGCTAAAATGTCTGTCTGGATTTGCAAAAAGGCACCTACAAAAATTTCCGATTGACCTGCACCCATCCAAACCTCTCATTTCATTGGTCCCTATAACCTGCACTACCTATTGTTTTCAGAGATAGGGGTATTGTTATGTCACCATCCCTATTGCTTTCCCAGCGAATCACAAAACGTTTTTGGAATAGGTGCAGGTCCGCCCGAAATTTCAAGTGCTTTTTAATGATTAGATCCTTGAGGCGAATGAAAAGTAAATGAAAGACTTTAGTTAGGGCTTAAAACCGCAACTTTATTGCTGGAAACACACGGAAAATTGCTCTTGGCGAAAGCGACAGAATTTTGCAATGAATTTATTAACAACATTTGTAAAGCACAGAAAATATGTCCTTTCAGTCGCTCATAGCAAGATGCCCGACGAGACAGACCTAGGATCCACCCTCTTTGAGCCCTGAATTGGTTTTCTAAGACAAAATCATCTAAACTAAACAGTCTCGAAGCATTTCTATGCTTATCCCAAGTATTCCCAAATTTTACAAGGGCAAAAATATCGCCAAACGACTCAGGAAAACTCTCGCCTTCTCCACATAAAACATAGGTAAACATTTCTCACGCTGTCGATTTATTCGAGATCCTGGATGTACCCCCAACGTTTTTAAAAAGTGCAGATGAAGGGCCCGCCTTTAAAAGGATTTTTTAACTTAGTAGTCTCGTGCCTGGTCAGAAATCAGCATCAACTTTGCTCTTTCCGAATAAACTTGACCCCTAGAATGCATTTTTCACTCTTATTCCAAGTAATTATCCCTACTTGCTTTCTGTTTCACACCTGCCGCACCCACTATTGTGTATCCTGATTAAAGACTATTCTGATTGGTCTCTTTTAGTATATACACGCCCTACTGTTCTCTAAGAGTCATTCACGCTCGCGGTCCACTCAGTTTATTCATCTCTCTTAGTCTCTGCTCCACCCCACTCATTTTTATGATTTATTTTTCCTTAATACACTGTTTTGTTTACGTGGTACTGTACCACAAATGGCCGTTAATTTACGCGGCTCTGACCAAGACAATATTGAAGGGCTAACCTATGTGGCCCTTCCCCGAATAATGAGTCTTATATTCTTGTGGCACTGGCCCAGCAACGAGCTGTTAACGCAGTTTTTAAACGGGATGGGTTTATTGATAGTGAGCTTTTGTTTGGCCTGCGAAAACATCCGTTTCTCTTCGTTCTTCGCCGCAGGGGACGTTTCGCTCGGAGGAACGTCTGCGACTCAGCGACAGAAATTCCATACTGATGACGCAAATCAATGTTTACATAAAAAATCCGGTAGCCGTGGGGTTCCAAATATGAATTTGTCTAATTTTACGTGTCTTCTGGTCGATTTGGTAAAGTGTTGTGTTCATCTGCCAACGAGTTCCAACAAAACTCTAATGCTTCTTCTTGAGAAAACTATATTCCATATATATTGACTGTTTTGTTAGAGATTCTTCGCGTTTATATTTAACCTCTGTGCCCTTTTGTTTTTTGTCTGTCATTCGTAAACAATAGCTGAACAATGTATCTACTCCGTCGACCAATCAGCGCTTCTGACCTGATTCCGGACAGTTTTTGCGTCATCAGTATGGAATTTCTGTCGCTGAGTCGTAGACGTTCACCCACGCGAAACGAGGAGCGAGGAGAGACGGATGTTTTCGCTGGCTAGCTTTTGTTATATGTGGTAGTGTGAATATAGATGCGTGTGCACGCGTGTGTGTGTGTCTTTGTGTCTTTTTTCTCTCTTTTTTTCTTTTTTCGTAATTTCTATTTTGTATCAAAACGTAAGAAATTCTTTAAGAAAAAATTTTAAAAAGAGTGTGGCACTGGCCTTTAAATCCAGCTGTTATTGCGTTCGAGGTACGAGAACGCAACTCCTAATTTATGTTGGGTGTTCTGTGCTATTAGTTAGCAAGGTTTTTTGAGATTGCATTTGTGGCCACACACATTTGCCTCACTCTGAGGCGCTTGCTTACGTTTTGCCTCACTTTGACGAACTAACTCACATGGTGATTCGTGTGTCCTCGGCGTTCATCTTTCAAACGTTTGCTGAGCCGGTCTGCAATTCCTATCTTCGTAAAGCGTTTATCTTTTAAAAGTTTGCTGAATCTTCGTAAAGCGTACATATTTCAAGAGTTTGCTGAAGGTCTACTATCGATCTGTGTTTGCTGAATCTTCCAAAGCGTCCATCTTTCCGGCAAAAGTTTCAGCGGTCGTTGTGCCACAAAGTATAATAAATTTACCGAGATGTGAAGCTCGGCGGTACTATTTCATCATGACTTGAAATATTTTTGGCACCAGACAAACGAATATTTTAGGTCTATGTTATTTATTCGGAAAAACCTATAAACAGACCAGTGTCAGTAGCTCCACTCAAGTAACTGAAATCAACACAATCGACCAAATTACTGTACTTGTTGAGACGAACCATACGATATCACTAGCCTTTTTCATAATAATACACGGTCTTTAGAGGTTTCACTGTAAGCAATCCTTACGTTTAAAATATGCCATGATAAAATTAATCTATAGCAATAACCATTCACCCTTTCCCCTCAACTGCTACCTGTACGCCTAACAAAAATATCGAACGCACTCTCTTAAGCTCCGATTACTCCTAGTTTAATTCGTATGGTACTGGCTGAATACCAAGTTGCTTATTTATAGGCACTGGCCTGATGAGCTGTTGCTTCTGATGTGGCTCCGGCCTAAATATTAATATGAAAGTGACGCTGGCCATATAATGATGTACTCTAGAACGGATATTTGTCTTGTTCTTTTATCGTTTAAATTTTATTCTTAATTTAAATTTGTCTAGTAAATCATGGCGAGGGTTTCAGCAGTTTTTTTTCGGTGAGCATTCATCAGGTTTTAGAAATGATGTTAAAGTCCAGGGCAGATTCAACGGTTAAGTCTTATATTCGTGTTACTAGAAAATTTATGGACTGGTGTAAAATTAAGTTAATAGGTATTCAGCTACCTTTTTCAGTGAGTGTGATATCTTAAGGGACACTTTGGCTTTGGCTACAACCCTAACGATTATGGCCTTCATAGTCTAAGAACCGGCGGCATTACATTTGCGGTGAATCAAAGGAGCATCTCGAATTCAGAAAACCTACTTATCGATACTTAAAAATGCACGGAGGATGGAAATCCGACTCCGCTGAGGCGGGGGGTCTGAATGGGAGGGCTCAACTTGTCGGTTGTCGGTTATTATACAGTTATTTTGCCGGTCGGTAGTAGGTTAAAATTTTCGATCTTTGTCGGTTGTCGGTAACTCTCAGTTAATAAGTAAAAATGAATGTGTATTTAATATTTGCTGTGTATTTCACTCATTTCAAGACTGATAGCTACAACACGTGAAAAAATTGTAAAAAATGCATCATTTGATTGACCTTAAATTTCATATTATGTAAAATCACCAAAGCTTTTATTGCAACTGATGCGAACTTGGTTTCTCCGTTGATTACTGGGCAGTATAGAAGGGTATACTCATGCCCTCCAACATGGCGGCCAAAACAACTTTTTGCTTATATCTTGTTAAACGTTTGATAGTTACGCTAAGATGTGCTGTAAACATTACCACATCTTTTTTCAACATTTTCCTTGAAGTTTAAGTGCAAACTTTGCGTTCAGAAAGGGGTAATTCATAATTATTTTTAAAAATCACCTTTTGGTCACGTGACCAGCTACGAACTTACTCATTTTAACAAAATGGTGCCGGTTTGAAATACCAAATCACTATTGTTTTGTTGAAAGATATGACACACTAATCGTTTGGGAAGGCAAAATCTTACATTTTTCATTTTCATTAAAAACGATGTCACATGACCTCTTAGTGCAAATGGCCTTTAATGGACCAAGACACAGGTGTAAAAAAACTCGTCTTGATTTCCCCAGAAGCTCATAGATTCTGTGGCATTTTACCCATGAGAAAAAAATAAACCACTTACCTACAGAAGAAGACATACTAATGGAGAAAGAAGAGCTTTTCGATGGACTTATCGAGAAGGAAGCATTTTCACTGAACGATATTGATAGGCTAGTAGACAGGCTTGTCCAAAACGATGTGCTAACGGTTTGGTTCTGAGAAATTGAGCTCAAGGACGACGTCACCGTTGGAGATGTGGAAATGCTTGGGAACTCGCTGGTTGAAGCACTGTAGCTTGAGGATGGTGAAACGCTTTGAGAGTAGCTGCTTGAGGGACTGAAGCTTGTTGATGTGGAAATGCTCGGGGACTCGCTGGTTGAAGCACTGTAGCTTGAGGATGGTGAAACGCTTTGAGAGTAGCTGCTTGAGGGACTGTAGCTTGTTGATGTGGAAATGCTCGGGGACTCGCCGGTTGAAGCACTGTAGCTTGAGGATGGTGAAACGCTTTGAGAGTAGCTGCTTGAGGGACTGTAGCTTGTTGATGTGGAAATGCTCGGGGACTCGCTGGTTGAAGCACTGTAGCTTGAGGATGGTGAAACGCTTTGAGAGTAGCTG